GTTTACCCAAAAATTATCGGTTATCAACTCTCTTGTAAAACTATCTCAGCCCGAGTCACTGAACCCGGAATAAAACACCTTACCTCTGCTCTTCTGTCTAATAATTTCCACATTAAAGATATTAAGCATTCCATCAAAAAATATACTTCACCACAATCTTCCAATAAAAATAAATGCATGTAATCAATTCTTCTACCAACGAAAAATGCGAGAGTCTATAGAAATCTATAAACAACCTAACAATCTTAACCGCGACTCAGGTCTTTATTTGTCACCACTATGGGAATCACTCACCCGAGACGATGTTTATGCCCCTCATTTAGCTCCGCCCCCTTAAACAATATATAAACAGATACAGAATAAAATGCGAGCCAGTTTCAATCAAGCTCTGAAGAAGCCAACAGGATGATTGGCGAGACGTCAGCAATTTCGACGAATCCAGAAGTTTTGTAAAAAGTATTACAGTAGCCTGTGGAAGTTTCTGTGAAAAATGCTTTTTTTTGTTTTAGAGTTTTGTTTTAATAAAAAAAAAACAATGCTTAAATCATACTTTTTCAAACAATATTAATTTAAAATGTTTGATCTATTATTCTCCTAAATAATGGAATTTGAAGTCCGACTCTGTACTAAACTTTGGTAAAGTAAAAAAAAAACAATTGCAATCAGGAGCTATTATCGGTACAGTCTATTTATAAATTCGCAAAACTCTAAGTTATTTTGTGGTGTTCTTTTTTTGAAAAATATTGTCTACGGGAAGGAAGAAAGATGCCATTTGATCATATTTCGTAGTTGTTAAAGATAATGACATTAAATCAGTGATTGATAAATGTAAAAAGTGTAAAGTAATTATGGCGGGACTAGTGCTGGGTATGAAGAAGCACATTCAAAAACTATATAGGATTTCAAGTTAGATGAGGAATTAACGCTTGATGAGATTTCCAAAACCTAAAAATATTCCAGCAAATTTGCTTGATCGTCGCTTTACAGAAAACAAACTTAGTCAAGAGCAAATAGAAACTGGCTTGGAATAGGTAGAAACCTATCATCTAGAAGCATTGCCAAATATTATTAATTACCAGGCACCCTTTAAACCATATATGTTTTCTAAACATTTAATTGAGAATGTACAACCATTGGCATGCTGGCGTTCTATGAAAAAATATACAGCTATTGTATTGTCAGTCAACATAGAAAGACTCTTCTCATCATACCTTTTAGTCCATTCAAAACTACGTAATCGGCTACACAATGCCAAAGCTGCTAAGTTGGTTTCAATTCTTAAAGAGGTTAATTCCATCAGTTATGACGTGAGTGATCATATCGACTTAGATATTAGATAACCATAAGACTGAAAGAGAGTGAGACATTTCTTACCGTGTGTATGCAAAATGTTTTCAAGTTTTCCAATTTTTGTTGTGTTCCTATAATCGAGAAATAAAGAATACATATGTTAAAAAGTTTGTATAATGTATTTGAGAATGTTTCCATCATTTTTTAAATTAATAAAGAAAATAATAAAAAAACGCCGGTTTAATTTTAGCGTTTTAAACATATTTTAAACAGTTTTAAACAAACATTGTTTTCAACCTTAGCAAATGTTTAAAACTTGTTTAAAACAGTTAATTTAATCAAATGTTAAAAACAAAACAAGTCTGGTAAGTATAGAGTGTTTCCTCATAATTTGCCACATCTCTTAACTTTTTTAAAAAGCGTTTATATAACTTTTTTAAAAAGCGTTTATATGAAAATGTTATAGCTTTTTCTTAACTAATTAAAATTGATGCGAACAAAAACAAAAAAATGATTTTTGATGGAACAATCTGAATATTGTATCGCAGAACGAAAGATCAAATCCACTGTAATAACCATAGTGGCCAAAAAACAATTGAATACGACATCTTGCTGAGGTAAAAGCATCGCTTTCACTACAAATACAAATTCAATCTAGCAAAAAATGCCGTTAAATCATTCTAACGAAAATGAAAATTTTGAAATTATACATAAATTTTATAAAAATAATAATAAATCCCAAGAAACAAAAGAATAGAATGCAGGGAATTATTTGGCAAACTTGTACCGTCAAGGGGCACATTCAGATATAGAAAAAACAACATCACTAAAAGAAAATCTCTATATAGAAAACCTCGGGGAGTTCCAGTCGATGAAAATACTTTACTTTACTTTACTTTACTTTACTTTACTTTACTTTACTTTTCATGGAAGGTCTGAACAATAATTTATGGTTTGTACTAATTTACAGGGAAACCTGAAAGCTCCACTAAAATTGCTGGAAATTATGTTTACCCACAGAAAAACAGAAGATTAGACAATTGTTTCCACAACACCGTGTCTTAAACCTTAATTAATGTTGTTGTGACAATTTAAGTTTAATAAAATATTTAAATCTAATTGATCGTTACACTGTTTTATGCTCGTTAATGCGTTTCTTGAAGGATCTACCTGTTCGTTAAACATAAATTTTAGGCCAAGATCCACATTTCAACCTGATTTATGAGATTTTGGACATTTCGTTTTATTGTTTTTTAAAAATTTGTTGTTTTTAAAAAAATAGAATAAAGAAAATTAAAAAAATATATATTTTTTTAACAATCCAACGAAATGTCCAAAATCTCAAAAATCAGGTGTCTACAGGTTGAAATGCGGATCTTGAGAAACATATTAACGAACATAAAAGAGCGTTTAAAAACAATAGTCTCGATTCTAATTATGCTACACACTTAAACACAGAACACATTTTTGCTGACAATTTTGATACTTTACATGTTACAAACAGATGAGACATTCAAATATATTGCTTAACGATCAATTAGATTTAAGTACTTTTTACAAAACTTCTGGATTCCTCCTGCGTCGGTTTTTGCTGAATCGAACTTGCTGATGTTTCGCCAATCATCCTGTTGGCTTCTTCAGAGCTTGACTGACACTGCCAGGTAGTTTGTAAATATTACATTTTATAAAGACACGGTGTTGTCGAAACAATTGTCATGTGAAAATATATAATTTCGTGAAAATCTGAGCTTTTAGTTCTTATTTATTTTGTTAAATGGATTTTCATCAAGTAAAAAAAAAGTTTTGTGGACTGCTAATGCCACCTTCACAACTACTGGAATGTTTAACAGGCACAACACTCGCACCTCAACGGCACTCAGAATCCTCTAAGTATTGCCGAGATAAAAAAAAAGGGGCGACAAGCGATAAATGATTGGTGTGGTATCTTCAACAACAGGCAATCAAATAGTCCAGATTTGACTCCACCGGAGACTTTTTCATGGGGACATCTTAAAGAAAAAGTCTACGCAGAGAGAAATCGAAATTTGGAAAACTTGACGTAAAACATTTTACTATCAATACAGAGAAAAACCATACATTTATAATTTTTGTCGTACTAGGAATTCTTTCGCTGAATTTGTTTTATATATATCTAAAAGTGCTGCTTGACATCCAAGTAATTCCATGTATTTTCTTTATTCTTTCAATTGTTTTTGAGCCGCCATGACTATAGTGGATTCGGATATACTTCCACATTTTAAAAATCCTGAAGTTATGTTTTTCAAATCCTTCCAAAATATGTAAGTTCAACAAACCCTAGATTTATCAAAAACCAACAAAAAATATCTCCTTTTTTTTAATATATATTCACGGTGTCCCATTTAAAAAATATATAACCGAATTCAGAAGAGTCAAGAAGAAACTATATGCTATATAGTTTCAAATATAAAAGTTAAGAGCGATGACGAATTATGAGAAAACTCTAACTTCTTTTTGACGCTTGTCAGTTTTGAGGGTCACGTCACAAGTCATTCAGAATACCACCCCTACAATAAGGAGGTAAAACGACAGACCGTAAAAAACACGTTTTGATTGAGGTATTTAATACTGAAAAAGCGAAAAATTAAAAGAAAACGTGTGAATAGTTAAGCCGTAGCTACCAATCTCAGAATTATTGTGTAAGATCAAAATATTTCGGAGTTTTTTTAGTGCTTATACGTTGAAAATTTTATTCATTTTGTTATGTGAGCTTCATTTTCACCCTCATGTAATTGAAACAGTTACAACCTTCACTTTTGCATCAACAAAAAAAATACTAAAAGTTTAAATTAAAACATCTCGTAGTTTGACCAAAGTAGCTTTTATATGTTTTTTATTATTCAATTAAGCTTTTAATAAAGCCAATTCGTAATATCTTGTTAAAGAATTTATCAAAAAATATAACGACAAAGTTTCTATAAAACCAATGCTACATTTAAAAATGGCAATGCTTGTTCAAGTGCTTCTTAAAATTTAATTTTATATTACTTAATCCTAATAAAATAATTTTGATATCAAAAATAGTCACAAAAATAAGTTCTTCACGTGATTCATTAAAAATTTTAGAATTTTTAAAATAACTATGCATCCCTCTGTATGAATTTGTTGGCCACCTTTTCTATGTATTTGAGCAATATTTTGAAAATTAAAATAATATAAAGCAATTAAAACGTTTTCTTATCCTCTTCCACGTATATCTGCAACCAGACACACCGCCGATGATTAATACTTTAGCGCGTTGGTTTCCAACCTTTTTGCGCCTGCGCTCAGCTTAAAAAAATTGTTGCGCGCCCTTAATTTTTTTAACAATCTAATTTCATAAATACTCAACTCATATTATAATTTATTTAATGTAATAGAAAATAAAATATAATATTATGTAAAAATATACACAAAAAATAATTATTTATTACGAGAAATATTAATTTGGAATATAATTAAAAAAATCTAACAAATATACAAAAACAAAATTATATTTTGGAAACAGGCACCCCACAGGTTGAAAACCACTGCTTTAGCGTTTTACGGCCCTGTGATGTATATTACACGTTTATAAACTTCCTCAGATACTCGCTCTGCTCGTGCTTAAACAAATACGTGACTAAAGTGTCCTGTGCTATACTTGTTACATAATATTAATGGTATATCTCCTAATATTTAAATCAACTTACTGAAGTCTATGAGGAGCCTCCCGTAGCCTTGTCTTTGATAGGGAGGTAACGTGAGAATGCAGGAAACGTTGTAGTTTAAAAACGAATTTTTCTCCTGAAACAAAATCAAATACATATCTCATTATTTTCGTGAGAAAAAATAGAATGAAACATATTTACACAGATTTTGTTCAAAACTTGTTTTTTTTTTAATAAAATTTACACCATTGGCAGAGATACTGCATTGAAACAGTCATTTATTTCTTTAATTTTTCAAAGAAACTTCTACAGGCTACTGTAATAAATCGAACTTGCTGACGTGTCGTAAATTATCCTGTATCCTGTAGGCTTTTTCAGAACTGAAACTGTCTTGCACTCTACTCTGTACCTGATTATTTTTTGAGGGGGCAGAACTAAAAGAGAGGCGTGAACACTGTCTCAGATTACTAAATATTTAGAAATTTCTATTGATTCGGACATTTTTTTGGTAGAAGAATTGATTACATATGACAATTTCAGTTGATCGAATAATATTTGATGTACGGTTTCATGATTGTGTTCGGAAACTGCTTATGAATTTATTTGTCATATTATTATTTGTCATATTAAGGCTCTTTGACTCTAAGGAAGGACCACCGTAGAAAGTGGGCTTATTTTCTTTACATTTTTTATGTCGAAATTATTAGAGAGAAGACCAGATGTAAGATGTTTTATATCTGGGTTCAGTGATTCGGGTTGAAATAGTTTGAGGATTGCCTGACAAAAGAGTTGACAACCGATGACTTTTGAGAAGGATCCTGATGTAACAATGCATTAGAAAGATTTCCCAACATACATTTTACCATTGTATTAGAAACTAATAATAATCTCCCATTCTTATATATTTTTATCAATAGAAAATCAGACCTAACATCAAAACCATCATGTCTAATTTCCACAATAGAGCGTTTCATCACCGAAAGTATGAGAAAAACTCTAATAAAAAAGTAACAAAAGAGTTAGTGTAATGTTCATGCCCCTTTATTAGCTCCTCCCCCATCAAACAGTATATAAGCAGATACCAAGTAGAATGCAAACCAGTTTCAGTTAAACTCTGAAGAAGATAAGAAGACAACAAGATGGGCAAAACGTCAGCAATTTCGATTTGACGCAGGAGGAACCCAGAAGATGTGTAAATAGTATCTTTTCGAAAAACTGGTATTAGTAAAAGTTGCAAATATTAGAAAATAAAATATAAAATACAAAAAAAGGTTACTTTGAAATTATAAACCGCTTCTTGGTCGAGTGTCGAACAAAAAATAGGCCCTTAAAAAAACATGGCAGAACATTAATGTACAAAAAATTGGAAATATATAATATATAATGTGGCTTGTCGATTTACATATTCGTTATGTCTGGTGTGAATGTTGGAAAACTGTAAATTACCAAACACTTCGAACACTCGGAGCGCGAGCATTGAAGACGCCAAGTGAGATTTTGGCGAAACGTCTGCATGATTCCAGTTGGAGTTCAACAAGCGAACGGATGATATCCCGGAATATCTATTACCACCTTGTTAATTACGAACATGTTATACAAACACTCAGTATTCCTAATGATAATCAATGTACCGGGTGACTAATTAAAAAAAACGCTTTGTCTTATCTCGACAAGTAATTGTCGTACAGATTTGTTGTGCAAAAACTTATAACTAAAACGTCTAAGAGAAAATGCGAAAAATTATTTTCAAGTTTCTAGAATAGCAGTCACAGGAGATATCGAATTCTTAAATTTCAAATCTCAATTTTTGAGAAATAATCTATTATGACAGAGAAATAAAATGAACAACGTTGTGAAGCTGGGATAAATGCAGTTCTTTTTCGATAAATAGTTTTTGCTCTATCTCTTAAGGGAAAGCGGTGGAGGGTACTCGAACTATAATTTATATAATTTATATAATGAAAACTCGAAATAATGTGGCATCTTTTGGAATATTTTTAATATACGTGCCATTTATAACTGCTAATTTTCCTTTTTTATCAAAAACAAAATACAGTGAACGATCAAAATACGGAACGAATTCAACTAAAAATCAGGTATTGGATTTCAAGAATAATACTAGCACGCGCACATGCGGCAAATATTGGAGTAACAGGAGGAAAAATATCAACTAGGTACAAACATGAAAAAGCATTTAACGACTGTTGCCGAACATAATAATAAAACCGGACATCAAATCTTATTCTTTACCTTTCACCAAATGGACAACCAGTGTTCACGCCTCTCCTTTAGCTCCGCCCCTCAAACAATATATAAACAGGTACAAAGTAGAATGCTAGGCAGGTTTAGTTTAGCTCTAAACAAACCAACAGTATGATGGGCGAAACATCAGCAAGTCCGATTTATAAACAAAAGACGCAAAAGAAAACCGCAAGATTTTAAACAGTGAAATAGTGAAAGTTTCTTAGTAAAATTAAAAATTCATTTTATCGTAATAAAGGGGCATAAATTTAGAAAAAGATCCATCTTCTTAAAATACTTAAAATAAACGTTTACCATGCGTCTTGTGCTTTACGCATTAGGCCGTGGTTTCAAAATCCGACCGTAATTTTTTTTGTGGCAAGAATATTGCTAAGCTCTCGCTACGGCAACGCTTTCAATATCAACACTCTGAAATTCGACTCAATCTTAAAGACCATAATTAACCGCCTTTCAAATTGCTGCGGATGGAATTCTCCGAATGACATCTGAAATGCTGCGAATACTGGTCCCCTAATGATGGGACCGATTATTGTAATGGTCGAAAATTTGGTCCAGTAAATATTACCTTTGAGCGGTTTTTCAAAAGCCGTTTGTTTCATCGCTAGTAGCCGAACGTGGTAGGTTCTAAATAGTAATGTCATTGTATAAAAATGGTTCAATGAACGTTTTGTATTACCAAGCCACTGATTGAATAGCAAACAGTGTGAGTGACTAATATTTTGCGTAGATTTAAGTTTTAGTATAAGGTATTTTATTGTATTGTATTTTATTTAATTAGACTGATATTTCAAAATAGAACAGGTTGTCTTAAGCAGAATCACATATCCTCAAAAATTGTTACTCTTGTTTTACGTTGTGTATTATCGTTTAGCCACAAATCGATTTGTTATTCTCGGCTCTAATTTTACCTGTAAATGTGATTTAACCTAACAGGACTTAATGATATTTAAAAAAATCATTGTCACAATCCGCTAAAAACTAGTTTCTATTAAAAGAACTTTTGATCCAACTGCTACTGTGATCGCCCATCAGGAATATTCAAATACTTAATATCGCGATATTCATTGTTGCTACGGAAGAGCAAATGGAAATGCAGATCAAGCACGACGGTTTTATATCGAGGCTTATCCCAATAGATTTGAATTACCACGAAACACAATGGATTCTCGAATCAAAATTTTGGTCACAACTGATTTAAAATAAACTATTTATAATATCATTCCAGTAAGCATTGTTCTAAAGCAAACAATCTAGTAAGCTTAGAAAAATAAGTTGCACTGTAAGCTGTCACTCAGAAGTTTGATGTCAATGTGTTTGAAACTTTGTATTGTATTTTTAAGAGATTTTTTTATCTGATTTTCAATTGTTTTGTAGAAATTAGTTACAGTGCCTATAGTTTGTGCACTATACGGATTAATTAGAGACAGGTAAGTAAAATTTAGAAACGTTTTTTTTTTTTGTTAAAATTTAATTTTGTATGTGGCGGTAGAGCTTATTTACTGCTTACACGAGCAAGATGTATTATTTAAAAAAGAGCACTTTCCAACATTAAAATATTGCTTTCTGTCATTCTCCGTTTTTCCGGTTTATTCGGTTTCAGATACAGTAGTGCCTGTAGAAAAAAAATATTTCAAAAACATTTGGCCCAATTCGCTTCCAGGCAAAATTTTTAATTTTTTGATGTATGTTGTATTTAAAAAGAAAAAATAGTAAAAAACACTACAGAATTTTTTGGCATATACCTGCTTAAAACTATAAAGGTACTATGCAAACCATAGTCTATTAGGTGAAGTTTTTCCAGGGTTAAGCATTTTTAGATATACAGGATGTTTGCAAATTAAAGAGAGATGTTTTGAAAACTGTAAAACTTTTGTTTGAATAAAATCGGGATTAAAGTTGTTCATGAGACTAGAAATAGATAACTTAATAAGAAAAATAAATTTAAAAAAATCTTACATTTTTCATTGGTAAGTGACTTCTTTTGTGACAGAGTAATTCATGAATCGTAAAAGAATAGATGTGTTTAATTTCTGGATTGATAAAAACGGTAATCATAACGGTAAAAATCTGCAAGTATGGCGCGAGATCTTAAATATGATGAACAGAACATCAAAAGCCTCAAGTTTGAAGAGTCTACAAAAAGAAAAATTAATGAAATTTGCGACCAGCTATCCAAAAGGTGGAAAAAAAGTAATAGCACGAAGAGTAGGTTTTTAAAATAAAACACTAAATGGTTAAATAGTACTATTCTATTCTCGCAAATAGCAAACGCCAACAAACTCGCTAGGAAGACCCGAAAAGTCATTTTGCTCGAGTAGTAAAAGAACTAGAATAAGAAAAATTAAGGAATTAGCAACAAGTTGGGAGCAAAATCAGTTAATTGGAGCAACAAAGCTAAGTTTAAAAAAAAAAACAGAAAAAGAGATGAAGTCAAACTGCTTAAAGAGAGTCTCGAAACCTCTCCTACTAGGGCCTCAAAAATAATAAGCAATTCGAATATACAGAAATCAAAGCCAATTATACCATACACAAGTGAAGAAGCAATTAGCTTGATAATTAAGACTCAGTTATCAAAAAGTGACTATTTAACCATCAGAAGCGAAAGACAAGAGAGAAACTTTGATGTTTATCCTTCATACAAAAAAAATTTGCACGCAAAATTATGCTGTTACCTATCTCCCGATAACATTTTGGTAACAGAGTTATCTGCAAAAATTAAATTACAAGGGCTTTTGGACCATACTGTCTCCTGAATAATTTTATCTCATTAAGAAGTTTTCGAAAATACATCTGGACCCTTTGATTTAATTTTAATCACAAAATTGTAGCTCATATCACAGTGAATACAAGCAGTTTATTGAAACTGAAAATGCT